ACTAGCATTATCAAAACCTACAGCAAACACCTTATCAAGCAAATTATACTCAATTAAAATACGCTCAATGAGAATATAAATATTATCAGCAGTATGACGATCATTGAATTCACGAAATGCAAGAACACGTTTATGCATATTCCAATCATCATCAATATAATGTGCAGTAAGACCCAAATAATATAAATGATGATAAGTATCCTCCCATATATCGCTACAAATACTAACACGTCCATTAAAGTTTGCGAAAAATGTTTGTAAATTTTCTTTTTCGAAGTTATATTGCCTTATAACTTCTTTTTTAATCGTTTTGCGACTATAATTTCTAAATTGAGGATTTAAAGTGCCTTGAGCATAATCTCTTAAAGCAAGACTTTCGGAAAAAATATAGGGTAAATTTTCTTCAACAATTAAATGAGACATACCAGTCAAATGTTTTTTATCATCATAGGAGAAATTACCAAAGGGTTGAGAATTTGCAAACCTCGATATTTGTGTTTGCTTCCCCTTGCCCTTGTCTATTTTCGCATACTCCACAAGATGGGCGGATTTAAGATGCCTTGTGAGACTCCCGTATCCGCCAGAAGTTCCCAAGCTATACTCTTTGCCGCAATGATTGCAACTTGCGTACCATTTTTCGGTATTTTTGTCTTTCCTTTTTGTAAAATTGTTTTCAATAATAGGAGATTTAGATTTCTTACCAGTTTGGGTTGAACCGCCCTCGTCCTCCAAGTCTTGCTCATCATCCGGGGTGCCGTGAGTCCCGTCGCCCCCCGCGTCCTCCTCCGCATCGTCATCCTCGAGCTCCTCTTCATCAATGGTTGTCGGGATGGGTTGTTCTTGTGCAAAGCGTGGATCGTTTTGGGACAATAGGTTTTGTAGATGCTCGTCGGACATCATCATATCATCTCTCCGTTGGTAATCCGTTTCAAAATCATCTCGACTTTGAAAAGAAGACTCGGCCCGCGCTTTACCTTTGCCTTTGCGTGAATTAGGACGAGTCGACGCAATCTCCCTCTTGCGGTTGCGTTGGAGATTACCCACATCTACAGAATGTCTACCACGTTCCATCTTTAAAATTGAACAAATATTAAATGATATCAAATATTTTATATGAGTACAATAGTAATAATAAAATGTGACTAAGAAAACTATTGCGAATTCGAACTAAAATATGAGTATACAAATCGAACTACTTCTAATTAATACTTTAATGAGAAATGTATCAATTAACTAAATATTAACTAGTTTGACTAATATAAATATGAGAAATGTAAAAATTAACTAGTTTTTTTTTTACTTTAATGAGCAATGTACAAATCAACTAATATTAATATGAGAAATGTAACAATTAGGTAGTTTAACTAATATTAATATGACAATTTTAACAATTAACTACTTTAGGTAGTTTTTAAAATGACAAATGTAAAAATTTACTAGTTATTTTTACCTTTTTGAGAAATGTATACTTTAACTAATATTAATATGACAAATGAAAAAATGTACTACTTTTTTTACTTTAATGAGAAATGTAGCAAGTAACTAATATTAATATGAAAAATGTACCAATTAAGTAGTTTAACTAATATTATTATGACAAATGTAAAACTTAACTAGTTTTTTTTTTTTACTTTAATGAGCAATGTATGAAATAACTAATTTTAATATGACAAATGAAACAATTAAGTATTTTAACTAATTGAAATATGACAAATGTAAAAATATACTACTTTAACTATGTTTTTCTTTAAAGAGAAATGTAGAGAAATGTAACAATTAACTAATTTAATAGATAAATTAGAAGTCTAACAATTAACTACTATTATAAGTAATATATAATATAATGTTTATAGTATATAATATATAAGTATATTACTATAAGATGAGTAATACACTAATACTTAATACTTTAATATATATATATATATAAGTATATATTAACTAAATGTAATATGTAAATATAAGTAAATAACAATAGTATGTATAAAAACTAAATATCAAATAAATATGAATGTGTATAAGTATATATAGTATATATAATGTTTATAGTATATAATATATAAGTATATTACTATAAGATGAGTAATACACTTATACTTAATACTTTAATATATATATATATATAAGTATATATTAACTAAATGTAATATGTAAATATAAGTAAATAACAATAGTATGGATAATAACTAAATATCAAGTGAATATGAATGTGTATAGTATATATACTTATATAGTATATATAATGTGTAAAGAATTATAATATGAATGTGTATAAGTATATATTTTTAAATAGATAATTAATATATAAGTAGATATAATAATTATATAAATTATATATATGTAGAAAGAATTTGGAGAAGATGAAGAATGAAGATGATTGAATATGAGAGATTTAGAGTAGAGAATTAGAGAGTAGGAAGAGTTGTAGAAGAAGAGATGTAAAAAATGTAGAGAAAATAGGAGTTTAAATAGATTTTTTTTTGATACCCCACCCCCACCCCCCCACCCGACCCCCCACCCCACCCCCCTAACCCCCCAGACCCCCCCCTCCTATGCTCCCAACGGCTATAGAGCCGTTTGGGAGCCTTCCCAACGGCTAGGAGAGCCTCTTCCAATTTAAAAAAAAAAAAAAATTTTTTAAAAATCTGGCCGTTGGAGGCCCGAACCGGGCCCGGCCCGGCCGGGCCGGTTCATTAAAATGGAGGCCCGGGCCCGGACCGCTATACAACCGGGCCGGGTGGCCCGAACCGGTCAAGAACCGGGTGACCGGGCCGGTCCGGGCCCGCACAGTAGCGGGCCGGTCCGGTTCCGGGCCGGTTGGCCCGGCCCGAGTCCACCCCTAGCTCCATGACTAACGGAATAAATTTTTAAGCCTTGAAGAATGAATTCTCATTTGGTGAAATAAATGAGAATCCACTCATACCAAATCAAATTAAATCAAATTAAAAATGAATGGTAGTAATTTGATTTGAGTTTGATAGTGTTTTATTTAAATCATATTCAATTGATGAATTGAATTTGTGAAAGTATGAATTAAATAGAACCAAATTAACAACAGAATCAATAAAATTATAACAATTCCTTAAAAATTACAAATTAAATTAAACTAAATTAGTATAATTTTTACTACGTATTTGAGTCTTTTTCTTAATCTGTATCAAACTTTCAAATTGAATTGATTCAAAGACTGATAACAAAAAAAAATAGAAATTGATATTCTAGTGATGGGTACGGTCCATTTCATTCTGTTGAAATCAGTGAAAGTTTGATTTAAATGACTGAATTTATTGAATTATGAAAAAATTATAGTTCAAATTATTCTATTAATATTAAAAAGAGAAGACCATATGAAGAATAATAAAAATAGTCCTTTTTAATAATTTCAGCCAATTCACGCGAAATAAAAATTACTTGTTTGGTAAAAAAATTGGTTGATAAACCAAAAAAGGTGCCAAACGGACTCGTGTTTGCAAAAGAAGTCAGACAACTCGATTAGGTTAAACAATAAGTTAAAATTAAATAGAAATGAAAAATGTATCTTTACAAAAAATAATAATAATAATAATAATAATATTGAAACTTATTTTTAAAAAAATACTGATTTATTGGGTTATAGGCACATCAGATTATCAGACGATGAAAGCTGTACAATAATTTTCAGTGAGGTCAAATTATTACTACAAATGCACTGTTAGAAAAAAAAGGATTTTTAGTGAGGTCAAATTATTACAAGTAGACCACTTGACAGATATTTAGCGGAATGAGCACAATTTAGTGAAAAATCATCTGGTTCAATACTAACATTTATACGGTCCTTGTTCTTGTAGGGGTAAATCACGTTGGGGTGATAATCGAGTACTTGGATTGCTTAAGGATCGTGTAAGTTCACTTTCCGAATTGATATTTCTCCCCTATGCCTGGGTTACAAGAAATTCAATCTAGGATAATCCTTAAGGACACTCTAGAACTTAGGCACAAGAACTAGAGCCAAACTAGTGAGTAAATAGATTGTTATCTTTAATTTGAGTGCCAAAGTGATGAAGATATGTTGGATATTATTCCTCTTGCTCCTCTGTACGAAATATGGTGGTATATATCCATATTCATCGTCCTAGGCAGTTGTAACACGATTAAGAATAACCGCAGCAGTTTTTGGGAAACTGCTGGAAACTGCCTGACCGTTCTAGAACTCGGTCTAGAACCACAGAGCTGGTCTGCTGAAAGTTATACTTCGAGTTCTACCTCGAGTTCCACTAACGTAGACACTTTGGAACTAAACTAGTTCTTATATACAAGTGTGCACTCCACACCTACTAACTTGTATTAGATCATAGTTCTAATTCCCATTGACACTCATGTCATTTCCAATTACACAAAACGGCCGGTGACACTAAAATCACCAACAATTCTTGCCAAGACTACTCAATTTCTTTTCCCTCCTGCAAACAGGAACGCAAGAACAGTTCCCAGTTCCCAGGGACCCGAAACCGAGCACATGTCAATCCCATTCTTGTTCAAAAATATTCCGTATTAGGGATGAACTCAGAACCGATCGTACATCTATCTAGATTGAGTAGTCTTTCCTTAAGGACTACTCACTTCAAGATGTTGAATAAACAATATCAACAGCGGTTGTTGAACTTCAGATGTTATTTAAGTTGAACTTTTCTGTCTAAATAGGTAGACTAAATTGAAATGTATATGAATTAAATGAACAAGTCGGTATTTGTCTGAAAAAATAAGTCGCATTTACAACTAAGACATTTATAAACACAACAATCAAGTGACTTTCTCAATAGCGGTTGGTTTATTTTTTACATAGGTTCTATCCAAATTAAAATGTGTATCTGTATTAAACCACTGGCCTTTGTGTAAGAGAGTGTTTATTTTAGTATACTAAATAAACACTATTCCTTGGCAAAAGAACCAATTGAGATACCGTCAATTAAGTCAATCCCCTGGCAAGGCCATTAAGTTACAAGTAAACAACTCCAAATCTATTAAATCAAAAGCAAACAATCCCAGTGAATATTATAAGATCATTGTAGTTTAAGCAAAATCTCAGTAATAACTAAAACGAGATAAGCAAACAATCCCAGTGAATATTATAAGATCATTGTAGTTTAAGCAAAATCTCAGTAATAACTAAAACGTGATAATAATATTGATTAATACCATGCAACAGCAATGAAAAAAGATCATACCATACTTGAGCTGTGCGTACACTTTTTCCAGACCTATTACGATTTGCTAGCTTTTTGTTTTGCCTTCTCTATAAGAGGTCTCAACTGCTTCTTTTCGGCAAGAACCTTCAGGAAGTTGAACAAGAAGGGAATATAGTTGTGCTTTCTGCGGATGTTTTCGGTTTTCCATTTCTTGAACTTCTCTTCTTCCACCAGTATCTTCTCAGTAGCCACTTCAATGCCAGAGTTCACTTCCGTTAGTGTTTTATTCAGTGCCTCCACGTTACTTCCATCCACCATAACCCTCTCTGATTGTAAAGCAGCCAATTGCTGAAGAATCCTTTCTCTTTTCCTCTGAAGCTCCTTCAACTCAGCAGTGTACATTTCTTTCCTGTTCTTGATTATGGCCATCAGGTTGAACCTTATTTCGTTCCTTGAATACCTCTCAATCCTTTCCTGAATCACTGGCTGAACCAATCGCAACCACTCAGAATCCTCATTCGGCCCACTGGGGCATTGTCCAAGGCTGATGGGCCCTTCTTTCAGCCCATCAAGCTCATACAGTATGCCGTCGACTGGAATGTAACTTATGAAATGATAGACATCGTCGTCTTTCCCTGCAGTTTTCTGCTCCTCAGGAACGAACGGCTCTGGTCTTGCGAAGCTGTTATGGGCAGCCCGGATCGAATCACTGTTGTTGATGGCTAAACCCTTGAGCTCGGGTGGAAAATTCTTTGTGAATTCTTTTAGCTGAGAAAGTTCTGGGCCTATGTCAATGTCTGGGCTGTTCAGAAGGATTGATAGGATTGCTTGGGTGGCACATGCATTATTGATAACCTGATTTCGTATTATTTAAAAAAATTGTTATTTAATTAATGATAGTGCTTCAATATCCATCTAGTATAAGGCAATTTTGTAACCATCCCACATATTTATCACATCATTTGACTTTACACTCCATGTTTTATTAGTTGAAAACACGCAATTTTGGCTCCTTTTAATTATACAAATGTCATCCTTAAAATGTGTATTGTTGTAAATGTAGTCCCTTCAGGTAATAGTTTAACAAATTATATTTCTAGTTTTGTACATTATTAAAGACAGATTACAATTACAATATATGGCACAATTAAGGGACAACTTTTGCAGAATTTAAAAACAGACTCATTGCATAAAGCAGAATAAATGAGACCAAAAGTGCAATTTCCACTTTACTTATTTTTACCTTTCACCCTATGTTTTATTGTACTTTTAACTTTTGCCCCCTAGAAGACCCCAGGGTGAGGGTGCAAATACTGTATAATAAAGGTATGAATGTAAGTGAAGTATGAATGTACTAGAGCCTGACCTGGCTAGCGAAAAATAAGTTGGGGTTGGGGTCCTTGATCACTAGACGGTCATCTTTTTCGCCAGGGCGCCACTTGAAAAGAAAAACTAATCCATAGATTGGCCTGTTTAACCGAGATATATGATTGTAATTAAAAAAAATTGTCAGATCAAGTTAGCAAGTAGCGGCATGGCCCGAGCATTAAATGAATATTTATTGCCAATATCTCAGAAACAGGCACAACTTTGCCATATCAATGAAATCACCTAAGGTCATTGAGAGCATCAAGGTCCAATGTATACAATTCTTCAACCTGTTAGAAGAACAAAAATGTGTAAGAATACATATTGCTCGTTGAATGCAATTTGACAACAATCAAGGATTCCAAAGACCCAGGTATGAAGTATATAAATACGAACAAGATTAAAGGGATTCATCCATGTCATGAACTCAAGGGATCTAATATTGTAAACAGTCACGGTCAATTTCAAGGAATCTAATATTGCATGACTATTGAAGGTAAAATCTTGGTAAAAATGAGAAAACAAGAGTGCCTTCAAGAAACAGATAAACTTGAAATCCGAATCAAGCTACTCCAAGAGGAAAACAAAATATCATTATGATTTATGAGAAGCAGCAAAAAGGTTCCTTTTTAGGGTACCTGCACTCCTTTTACTTGCATCTGCTGAATGAGCTCAGTGAAAACCCCTGAAATGCAAGAAAAATATAGAAACAGACATCTCAATATTTAGAGATACAAAATTTTAAAAAGAGTGTTGAGTAAGTGGTATTGCGAATTCTCCGCAAGAAATATTGGTGCCAAACCACATAGAGTACATTTTAATCACAACAGCTTAACATTAAAATGAAAGCATGGCACATCGTTCACACCATTCAGTAATCAGTACAGATATCATTTAAAAGGAAAATAACATTATATTAAACATAATGGTAATCGTAAAGCATCAACATTCACACAAAACTACTGCACCTGAACAACAAACCCCTAAAGAATCAAATTGAAAAAAGTGCAAACGTACCGGGATCAGATTCAATGGTACACCAAGACATGATGGTTAAACTTTACTGCAGTGAAGAATCTTCTGTCTATATAAAGAAATGATGTTTGCTCTGCCAAATTTCTCACCAAAACTAACTGAAGAAAAATATCAAAGACAAAAGTAGGTTATCTGGTTAATAAAAAGTTAACAAATATAAAGTAGACTCTCTAGGGGCAAGGTCTTGTGGTGTATTGCCTTCATGCTCTTGGCTATTTTTTACTTAAAGTATCAAATTATTTTCATAATTACTTTACTTTTTGTCTTGTTTTCAACAGAATGTAGAAGGGAGAGGAGTTATGCAGAGTAATACAAAAGGGCTACTTTGTGGTTCTAAATAACATAATTCATGTTTATTAAAATTTATCCGACACAAAGATTGAGAGATGAAATCAGCTAGCGCTCGAACACTTTTGACTGAACTAAAGATATTCACCTTGGTCACATAGCAATCCAACTTCTCTGTGTAAAGGCTTTACTTTATGCCCGAGCAATAAGGATCTGAAAAAAATGTAGATTCCCTCAATCCCTAATGTAAATAGATAATATCAAATATCTTAGAGCCAGGCGTGATAGACTGAATATCTCCTGACTTTTTGAGTAAAAGTTTTTGGTAAACTCCAATTCTACCAAATATTAAGCTAAGATTTTTTCGTTCAACCTGAGTCTTAATGTAAATTGTAATACATGTTCTAAATATTTTAAAAGCTGAAAGAGGCAGATTTAGACAAAAAAACATACAGTGGAACCCGTATGTTGTGAAGAAATCAGTATGTTTAGAATTGCAAAATTGTCACAAAGCAAATAGTGTAATAATCAAAAACTGATAATTAGAACCTTAGAGTGGTTCATACACATCTTCGACAATAGGGCTAATAGGAGATATGCAGAGTTCAATTTTGACCCATCTAAATTATAGATACGATGACTAGCTGGGTTTCATATTCGGATAGCTGAACAGTACAGAAATTTGGAGCGGAGGTGGAAGTTCAAGCAGCGAAAGCATAAGATGAAGCGTAGAAGAGCGATATACCTGGAGAGGATATGAAAGCACGGTGAACTGTCGAATCGGAAAGAGGCCATAGCCGAAAGGGAAGCTTGTGATATCATGCACGATTGTACATACAATTAGATATTGGGCTTCAGCCCAAATTAAAATATAATGGTCCCGACACAGTATTTTTAAGGAAATTTAGGACGGTGGCTTAGCTCACCTGATAGGAAGGGAGTGTCACAAGTGAGAGTCTCAAGTTCAACTCCAAACAATGACTTGGGATGAAGCATCATTCTCTTTTCATTCAAGTGTGATCAAAGTTCAATTTACATCCTCTCAGCTATCTGTCCGGTCAGTGCTGGGGCCCTCAGGGATGGAGTGTCATCCTTTTTTAAAAGGAAATTTAGGATGTTTTCTTTTCTACTATTTTCAGTTTCAGATCATATCCGATCAGACCGTATTAGACTTTAACAAATCAGATCATACATAAACAGATCAGAACAGACTTGGATATTTATAAAATACACATAAATTAGACATTTATCAGATCAGACAAGACTTAAACGGATCAAACCAAATCATAACAAACCAGATCAGCAAATTTCAGTCCAAAAGAAAACATCTAGTTGTCCAATTATTATTTTTGTTATACACACGCATATTTGCATTGATTTGTTTTTAAGATTTTTAGATTTCCTTCGTTCCATTTAGAAAGTCATTTTATGAAAGTTTAATGAGAAAATATAAGGAGCTCGCCAACTTACTCACTACGGAGGCACGTTGACTCAGAGGGTCAGAGAGTGTTGAATATGCTTCTTAAAATTGCTTTTGCTCTTTCATAGAGTAGAAACATATATTTATCTAGCGTGCTTCTTGATATAGATCTTAGTGGACAATATGCACCTTTTCCCATTAGAGTTTTTTTTACCCCAAATAGGACTAAATTATGATCAAAATTCCTAAATAGGAGTTAATATTTTATTTTTCCTAAATATGGCTCCTTATTACCCATTTACCCCTACTTTAATAAAACCCCACACCGGGCATCGATTCGGCATCTCCTTTTCCACATCCATCGCAGGCAAGCTCCTCTCCCAGGTAAACCAATGACGGAGATCCTCTTCCGCGCAACCTATTTCGACCAGCCAACGTGCCTACAGGCGGTGTCGGTCTTACCTAAATTTCGGGCCTGAGTCGAGCTTCATAAAATGAGCCCCTGTGCCTAGTGTTTTTATTCATATAGATTCATTAAAATTTAATGATTAAATATCATAAAAACGCAATTCTTAAGTAAAAGTCTTACACTATAACAATGTAATGTTACAGTTTATAAAAGTTTTACACTTTAACAATGTAATGTTACATTCTGTGAGGATGTACTTTCCGAAGCGGCTGTTTTATTCGAAATCAAGTACTTATTAATGTCTTCGGCCTGACTTTGAGTTAATGATTCAATACGTGATTTCCTTTTCCTCTTTTGAAATCCTTAACAATATATACTAGTAATTTTCTCTACAATTCTACAAGATACAAAGTATATAATTTGATTAATTGTGAAGTGAGAATTCCATAATTACAATATTGATAAACCTAAATAAAAATACAAACAACAATCAACTAGCATTTAAAAATATACTAATTAACACATTACATATTCACACGTGAAAAATAAATTAATCAATTATACATCACATTTAACATTTAGCAAATCAATAAAAAGTTTGAAAATTTCTGAAAATACATAGGTATAGGTATAATAGTAAAGTAAGAAAAAAATGGTCCCCTAATTCTTTCAGTTTTTTGGGGCCCTGAGGCTTGGGCCTCTCCAGCCTCACATAAGGCACGGGCCTGCCTACAGGTAATCACTTCCTCCTTCTCCTCCTCTTCCTTCTTCTCTTTCTCTTTCTCCTTCCCCTTCTTTTTCCTCTTCTCCTTCCCCTTCCCCCTCCTCTTCTATTATCAGCTCCTCTTGGGAATGAAAATTTGAGGCTGGTGTTAAGAAATTTCTAGATAAATTTTATCATTGTGTATTTTTATCAACTTGTAAATAAAATGACACATTTATTATGGCATTTTTTAATGTAGATGGACATATTACATCTTTGAGAATGCCAAAATTTTGACATTTTCACAAATTGTGGCATTTTTATGGCATTGAATTGAATTTTTCGGCAACATTACTTCTTCATTTTTCTTCTCCTATTTCATATTTTCGATCTCAAATGTGAAAATGCTATAATTTTATTCTGAAAAATTTTCATGTTTTTGCATACAGAAAGGCCAATTTTTTGTCATTATTGTTAACATAATTGCAATTTTCCAGAAATTGGTACAATACACTCCACCGGAGGTGTGCAGCGGCAATCTTGGCGGCAACAGTGATGTTGGTCTAACTTGGTTGTGGTGGCCTCAACGGCAACGGGCGTGCACTTAAGGTGGTGAAGATGTGCGGTTTGGAGTTCACGCTTGTCACGCCCCAGACCGCAATCCAAGCGCGTGTACAACCGCCGTATAATTAAGTGACGTCACCCGCGAGTCAACCTCACTTAATTACACAAGGCGTTTGAGAAAACAATCCATCCATACTCAGTAGTAAACATACATAACAACATCACATTTAAACCAATGAATAGCGGAAATATTCAACGGTAAGTCATAAGCCACAACCGGCCAACAACATGGGCATGCAAGCCCCAAAAATAGTTTATAGTAGAACAAATATCCATGAGCAAGTGTTCGGTAGTTTGAAAGAAAATAAGGAAGCACGAACCACGTCTTCCTGATTTGATACCACCCGTGAGAAGGTGCAAGTAGCAAGCCCTAGCTTCAACCTGAAAATGGTGGGGGCCCCCCGAAGGGGTCAGTACAAGTACCGAGCGAGTAGCAGGCTAAATATAGAATAACTAACGTTTCAAGTATAAGACCCAAACATAGGGTGATACTTAAATAGATAGTCTTTCCCCCAAGTTATGAAATATTTATTAGTATAAATATATACTTGGAAAATATCCGATCCGTAGATCACCATTTTATTTGGGAAAAATAGTAATAGTCAATATTCTTGACTAAAAACCCCAACCCACCCATATACCAATGAGTGTATAGGACTCCTCCTTGTCCCTATTCCAATATCATAATCTACGAGTTTTGAGGATCATAATCCTTGGGTACTCCACCGGTTTGTGAGTGTTAAGGACTCATAAGTCCTAGGGTCCTCCACCAAGTTTGAGTGTTAAGTACTTTTAAGTACTAGGGTCCTCCACCAAGTTTGAGTGTTAAGTACTTTTAAGTACTAGGGTCCTCCACCAAGTTTGAGTGTTAAGTACTTTTAAGTACTAGGGTCCTCCACCAATTTATAATCCGAGTGTTAAGGACTTTAAGTCCTAGGGTCCTCCACCAAATTTTGAGTGTTAAGTACTCTTAAGTACTAGGGTCCTCCACCAATTTATAATCCGAGTGTTAAGGACTTTAAGTCCTAGGGTCCTCCACCAAATTTTGAGTGTTAAGTACTTTTAAGTACTAGGGTCCTCCACCAATATATTTGCCTATGATCAACCTTCTATCAACCTAGATAGAGTCTATATCATACTTAGTTACTCATAACTAATCCAATACATCAAGCTTATGTATCACAATCCATGCAAAGCCATGCAATTATATAAATACATAATTAACTAATATCAACCGATATTAATTAATTCATTATCCATCGGTCAACGTTGTCGTTGGCCGCCATTACAAGTCTTATACTTATCAACTTAACCATCATGTAATTAAGTTAATAATATTCATTTGTGCATCTTATACATTTCAAACAAATATGTATTTTATAAAATCCTTCATATCATATTCCATGCACAAACAATTTATTTCTTTCATACAATCTTAACCCTATTGGCTAATCACATGTTTAAATATCCTTTAAACATTATTATGAACTCATATAACATTTATTTAGGTAATCTCATAATTAACCCAAAAGTTATAAGATATTAAGCCGTCCACTCACCTTGAATTTGCGTTATGAAGTTCTACCCTTCTTGGTTGAACTCCGGTGAAACTCCGGCGACTTTCGGTCAACTCCGGCAACAACTCCGGCGACTTTTCCAACTTTGAGAAATCACTTGAAATACCCTTTACAAGTGCCTAACAAGGTTTTATAATCATAAAACCCATATTAATACAAATAACCTCTAAAAGGTTATTTTCCGGTGAACCGGTCGTTTTGGCTTCTAAGTCCGTTTTTGGACGTAGAACCACCTCCCAACCCATGAATCCATACTTATAGCATATGGAACCATACTAAAGGTTCTTCATATGCTATATACTTCATATGGTAGAAGAAAAATAAAGAAAAAGTTATAATAAGGTCATTACCTTAATTATTTCACACTTTTAGCACTTTAGCTCCTTTTTGGGTGATTCTTCTTTGATGAGCTCTCTTCAACAATGGAGGAAGGAAGAAGAAGAGTTTTCTTTCTCTTCTTGCTGTAGCTTGGCCGAAAAATGAAGAGGGGAGGGGGATGAGAATGGACTTTTGTCTCATTAATCCAATGAGTGCAAAATGAGGGTCCACCTTAGGTACTTTTGATGCCTTTCCATTCAATCTCCAACACCTCCCACCTTCCTATTCCCATTCCAGCGGCCAACACCCCATATGGAGTGTCCAAATTCGTGGGTTGGCCCCCACTCATGTGGGAGGTCAACCCTTTGTGTCCCGAAGTGTACAATCGGTCCCGAAAGTTGTATTTTTCGGACTGTTTTAAATATATTTTATTTTATCGGGTCAAATAAAATATATTATGTGCTCTTACTCATTATGACATGTATAATGAATATACATTCCCCAACTTTAATTTATAAGCCTCCGAAATTCAGTTCGGGCTGTTATCAGTTAAATTACCAGTACTGGTAATTTGGGCTTCTTTTGACCAATCGGTCAACTCCGGGCCTTTCCATGGCCCAATTGAAATATCCACCACTACATATTTATTACCTAGACCATGATGAATAAAATGTATGGTCTCGGGAAAATCGGGCGGCCCCCGCTCCCGGTGTGGGTCCCACGTGCAATTTACTATTCACGCGAAAGAATAAATAAAAATTTACAACTTCGTAAATTCATAAATCATTCCATAAGGTTTAT